ATTCCTTTATCTAAGAATACTTATATAACAATATTATCATAAAAATAAAACCAAAAATACAATTTTGTAATACCTTAAAATTTCTCAAAATTAAAATATGTTTCATAATTCTGTAAAATTATATTTAAGATTTAATAATGATTAGTTTTTGATTCATAAAAAAATATCAACTCTTATCCAACACAAACTAATCTAATTTAATTAACTTTAAATAATATCCAATATTAAATTTCATACAATTTTTAATTTTTAATTTTTTTTTTTGAAACGACACCATACAAATCTTAATTTAAAATTTTCCAATTTGTCATTTGACAACACATTTTCTATTCTTTAAAATAATGATGGCGATTATTCTCAGGCGAGTTAGAAATCGGAGGAACAGAAGAAGCAGGCAGCTTTCTCCGCGGCAAGAAAGCGACGATATCCGGTGACCGGCCTCCTCGTTTAGGTGTGCACCGACACACTGCCATTTTTCACGGTCAAGTACCGCTGATGCTTTCATTCGATCGAGTTTCCTCGCTGTCTCTGACCTACTCTCTCGGCCTTCTTCACGCCGACCACTTCACTTCCAGAGTTCTCCACTTCTCATGAGCGGTCCACGGGCACAGCTCATAAAAATATGGTATAAGTGCAATAAGTCATTGGCCTCGTTCTTACCTCTCTTTGATGGGAATATTGAGCAATGGAGTAGTTGGATTTTCTGTTTTTATTTCAAAAGTTTTTTGGATAGTGATTTTAAAACAGATTTTAAAAAGTATTTTAATGGGTTATTGACCTTGCCTTTTTGATATAATGAGTAGTTAAAAACAAAACAATGGAATGGTTAAGATTTTTAATTTATTTTGAATTATATCTATTGATGATTCTTAATTATAGGGTAAATTTTGAAAATGTAATAATATATAAATGCAATAATTTAATATTAGTGATTGTAGAATTAGTTATAGTATTATGTAAATATATAGTAATAATTTTTATTAACAGTACATATTAATAGTTGTATAGAAAAATTATATAATTATATAATTAACATAATGTATTAATATTAGAAATGAAAGTGGAAGCTTATGAAAAGTGGTTAGGCACAGCAAGTTGACTTAAATTACATAATTTCTTGGAAATCCAGATTATCAGTAATAACTTCCTGAAATCTTTCAACAGTAGAACTTTTGACAATAGGAATAATTAATTTTTATATAATTTCATTGTTACTTTGTATTTGATCTTAAAAGTATGCAGAAAAAAATTAATTTAATTTATTTCATTCTTATCTTTATCTGACTTTAAAAGCATTCCATTTACAAAATTAAAGTTCAATTTCATTTCACAAACATGAAAAATTATCTTGTGTATGTATTCACCATGAGAAATAAAAATAATTTTACAATCCAATATATTACTATATAAACATTCTTTAAAAAATTAAAAAAAAAGAAAGAAATAAAAAAATAAAAATTCTCAAGATAATGTAACACAACAATTCTATCCAATTACATCCACTCAATAAATTTCACTTCTACATCCTCCCTCGATGCTCAATGGGCTCGAAACTGCGGCCAATGTCGATGTCGGTGTTCCGGGACCTCGAGAGTATGCACATATCCGCCGCTCTAAGATCAAACCGATTAATTTGGCTTTGCCGAGTACACCGTTTATGCGTAGCTGCTCGTCCTTATATAACGGTTTTTATTATATAACTGATAGAAACATAGACCCTGCGCGGTTGCGTCCAAACATCAGGCGAAAGTGTCGCCTTTTTCCACAAGCTTTTTCGATCGATTCTCAAATTTTACAATCGATCTTTCGCGTTTGCGTTATGTGTTCTATTGATATACGATGTAAGTACTTAAATATTATGTAAACGTAACGAATGGTAGAATATCTTGGCAGAGACTTGAAAATATATTAAAATAGTGGATTTGATTATTAATATCATTTAACAAGTTAAATCTGTGGTAGATTACTTATTTTTTTTATTGATATTTGCAATAATTACATGGTTTTGGAACTCTTTTTAATTTTTACGTAATATTTATGTAATAATTTATATAAAGATTGAAAAATTATGTTTGGTATCCTCTTATTGCTAAATTATATTTTTAGGTTATTTTTAGGTTATATTGGAAATGATTAGTAAATGTACACGAATTTATATTCGTAAATCGATTATTTTTATCGAAATCTATATCTAATTTACATTAGATGTAGAATCTTTTTTATCTTTAAATGCGACACGTGTAATAATTCAATAAAAAATATATCTGTCTTCTTGTTACGAGATTCTAAATTGTTCGATGAATGTATAGAATATTTTGAAGTGATATGTATATATATTTATATTCGCGAATATGTGAATCTGTATTTCACAATTATAAATATATTATATAAATATATATATTATATAAATATTATTATAATATATTAATATTATTATTTAACCAAAAATGTAATATATTCATATATTTATATAACTCGAAAATCATTTAAATAAAAATTAATTAATATTAACTAAATTTCTAAGAATAAATCTGAGTTAACCTCTACGCGTATATAAACATTCAAAAAGGCGGCAAAAATACAATTACATGATCATGAAACAATTGAGCAAAATGTATAAAACATACTTTTTGCAATTATTTCTTAAAAAAAAAATTCGAAAAATTAGGAATAAAAAATCTAAGATATATTATATTGTACTAAAAGATCCATTAGAGGAAATGATCATAAATTTTTGTAATAATTTTCTCAAACAGAGAAATAGTATATTAGATAATATAATTTAATAATAATTAATAATTAATTAACTTAGAATTTTAGAATTTTATAAATACCTTTATCTTCACAGTATACAAATATAAACTGTCTTACAATTACGACTAAAATATTAACTTTATATGTTATATATTATATTCTTTTAGAAGATACACTGATAATTATAATAGTTAATTATAAATAATACTTACAATTTTTTCAAGTAAACTATTATTTTACATTAAATAATATACTAATAATATAACGATAACTTTTTAACTTACAAGCAATAGGAAAAATTATGAATAAAAGATCTATGATATATTTGTCCAGATGGCAATTAGAAGCAATGACTATAAACATCGTTGATAATTTTCTGCAACAATATGTGTTCCGCATTAGATAATATAATGATATAATTAGCTA